AGCTGACTCCTGCCCAGCCCAGCTCCCACCAACGGTGTGAAAAACGAGGTTCACATAATTTTTATAGCATTTAACAGTTTAATAAAAAAAACCAATTAGGATTAAAAATAAAGTAAAGAATACAGATAGGGCCGGGTGTCTCTGCATTCACCTCACTGACAAAGGATTGTCCCTTAAAAACAGAACCCTGCTACATATCCATAAATTCTCATTCATATCCATAAATTCTCACACATATTCAGACATTCTGCTTAGGATCTTTGGGGTTCTTCTGCTTCATTTTCTCTTGCCCCCTTCCCAATGGATCAATCTTCTTGGAGCCATCGAGATTTACATTCCCTGATACCAGAAATGCAATAAATTCCTCCCCCAGAGTTCTGGGCACTGCTGTCCTCATCTGGATAAGAGAGTTTACAAAAGAAAGAAAAGATCTCCATCTATCTTTTTCAGTCTTTGGGTTATACAAACAAAAGTAGTTTTTGTTTTAATGCTATGTCATAGCCTAACATACATGTATTATACCACTATTTCTAAGTTTCATCAATAACAGAAATAAAAAAACCTATATTAATACAACAAAAATTTCCATTCTTATACACATAACATTCATTTTAATATTTGTGAAAAGCCAACAATATATGTATCTATAACAACGGTGAGGGGAAGGGCTCCGGTCCCACCGAGCCCGTGCCAGCAGAGACTCTCCAGACTTGAATCAACATTTGCTTCAGTGGGGGATTTTCAGCTGCTCTATTTAAATGCTGAATTTTCTTTTTCATTTCCATGCTTAACTCATAAAAACTGAATTTATTTGGGTTGGGTGCCGATGCCTGCAAGCACAGCTGCTCACCAGCTCTCTCTGCTTGCTATGTAAATGCATGAGAAGAGGATTTCAAAGCCTTTTCCAGCTTGCCCAGCACCAGAATTTGGGTTTTCTTCCTCTTTTACTGCTGTGTTGATGCACCCAGGGTGCCCCGAAGCCCAGCACCTCCCCAAAGCAGAGCTGTGTAAAAACATCTCATTCCCTGCTTTGTAGAGAACTCTGGAGATGGAAAACCTGCTCCCAAAGAGTGCAGGGGCAGAAATAAACCCAGGATGGGTTATAGGGTTATAGGGGCAGAAATAAACCCAGGACGGGTTATAGGGGCAGAAATAAACCCAGGACAGGTTATAGGGGCAGAAATAAACCCAGGATGGGTTATAGGGGCAGAAATAAACCCAGGACGGGTTATAGGGGCAGAAATAAACCCAGGACAGGTTATAGGATCAGAAATACATCCAGGGTGGGCTATAGGATCAGAAATGTATCCAGGGTGGGCTATAGGATCAGAAATGTATCCAGAGTGGGTTATAGGATCAGAAATACATCCAGGGTGGGCTATAGGATCAGAAATGTATCCAGGGTGGGCTGCAGAGGCTGAGGGCAGCTGAGCTGGATCTGCCCTGGAAAAGCAGCAGCTCCAGGATGGGGTACATTACTTAGAGGGAGGTGCCTGTCCCTGGATCCAGAACGCTTTCAGCATTCCCCAAGGTTATCCTGACCATTTGAAGGGGTAACACATGAGGCAGGACCTCAGTCACTCTGTTCTCCCCACTGCCACAGGAGGATTTGGTGTTCCCAAGCCCAGGCACACCCACGGAGTTCCAGCACCAGAGGGGCACTTTGGCTCCATGTGAGTGCCATCAGATCCTTGGGAAGGGGCTGCAGGCTCAGGGAGCTGCTCCTTGCCCCGGCCCTCTCCAGGTGTGGCCAGCAGGAGCAGCTGGGATGTGCTGCTGAGGGAGCCAGGGCACGGCAGCCTCACCCTGGGCTTGCCCAGCGGGTCTGGGGCTCCCGAGGCAGCCCTGGCAGAGCTCAATTGGAGTTTTGTTGCTCCCTATTTGTAATCCCTGGATTTTGCTCTCACTGCTGTGTTACTCAGCTTAAAGACCATTGACCACACTGAGCTGTGCGAGCAGAGCAGCCTCAGAGTCACACCAGCTTCCACTGCTGGGAAATTCATTTACACAAACTGGGTTTTGAGCTGTTTTTGCTTCAGACACGCTCAGACTGTGGATCCAGCCCTTTAATCCACGTTCTCGTAACTGGTTTTATACTTGCTGTGTGCAGAAATGAACATGTGTAAAAGCAAACTTAATCTGGGTATTCCCATTGCTGCTCTCTCCTTCTGGAACAGATGGCAGCAACAGACACTGCTCCCAACAAAACTTCATTTGCAGGAATTCTGCCTAAACACCCTCCTGGGAGCTGGGATTGGGATGCCTGTGCAATCCCTGCTGCCCCACCCCAGAGCTAAATAACTGAATAATGGGATTAGCACAGAGAGGTGCCCTGGGCCAGCCATGCTGCCCAGGAAAATCCCCAAATTCCCATTCCGGCACAAAGGCAGGGCGAGGGGTGGCCCTGAGGGCACACAGTGCCATCAGCACCCTGGGAGAGGATGAGAGATTCCCTAACAAGCACCAGGAGCTGCTGGGAGCTCAACCAGCCAAGGCAGCATCAGTGCCAGGTGAGAGGATCTGAGCAGTGGCCAGAACGGGGAGAGGAACAGTGGGAAACAAAGGTTCACCATCCTGGGGAGTTAATCCAAGGTAACTCAAGGAAACTGTGCCAGCCACCACTAGAAAATATCCCTGCCTTCCACACCTTCAGGGCTGATGGCAGGAATTTTCACACCAGGCTCTAGGGTAGGTCAAGAACATTTACTTTTAAAGCTTCTGGCTTCAGGCTTAAGAGAGTTTCAGCACCTCTGGGTCCAGATAAAACAATTCCAGGGAAGAAGACTATCCCTGATGATGGGGCTGGTTCCCATAACTAACCGGGCTGAACCTGGGTTTCACTCCAGGTGTGAAGTGTCTGAACTGCAGGGGATGCTCAGAGGCTGCCCTGGGCCAGCCCTCCCCAGCCCTGAGGGGTGGAGGCAGGCACAGGGAATGTGCCTGGATTGTGGGAATACAGCATTCCTGGAGCTCTCTGTTGGAATAACCAAACTCTAACAGCGTTCCCGAAGTTCTGCACTTGGAATAACCAAACTCTAACAGCATTCCTGGAGCTCTGGAATAACCAAACTCTAACAGCATTCCTGGAGCTCTGGAATAACCAAACTCTAACAGCATTCCTGGAGCTCTGGAATAACCAAACTCTAACAGCATTCCTGAAGTTCTCCACTTGGAATAACCAAACCCTCGCCGAGGGAGAGGCTCTGGCACGGAGCAGGGATGGGCTGGAGCCTCCTTCCCTCCCGTTTCCATCTGGCTCTGGGTTGGACAAACACCGACAATGCCCCAGTCAGCTCCCACTTTGCATCTCATGGAACACGAGAGGAGCTCCTTTGTCCCGAGTTATTTCCAGCCCTATGTTTCCATCCAGAGCTGCATCCAAACTCTAATGAAATCAATTCCTGGATCAGAACCAGGGACTGGCTGCCAGCGCTGGGGTTTGAAGCCCTCAGCACCCCCGGAAAAGCGGAGCTGTCGCTGAGGGAGCCTTTGTGGCCCAGCTGTTCCCCAGCCGTGTGTTAATCAGGGCACGCTGTCCTTTAACTTGGAAATAAAGCTGAGTTTATCCCCCCAGCCCAGGGCCAGGGCTGCTTTAACATGTTTAACCCACTTTCTAAAGATGCTGAATTATTTGCAGCAGACTCTTTACCTCGATGAGCCCAGAATTAGCCCGAGCCTTTATGGGATGTTTTAATGGGCAAAGCAAATCTGACCTGGTGAGATTTACCAGCTTTATTAGCAGCAATAACAATTTTACTGTCAACAGCAGTAAATCAGGGTTCATTTGGAACTCCACCACTTTTATCTGGAGCAAGCAATTAAAATGTCAGGTTTTCATTGGACATAATTCCTGCCTTCCATAGAAGACAGACTCCCTGTTTAAGTGGGGAATGTAAAGCTGCCAGTTCAAAGAAATCTAAAATTCTCAATAAAATTCAATCAGGTTGAGGATGTTTGGGGAGTCACACCTGTGGAGCTTTGTTTTATCTACAAACCAGATCCATTTTCCAGAGCACACATCCAGCAATCCTGGCAATTCTCTGCAATGCAACATCCATTTTCCTGGTAATGAGTGAAAATACCACAGAGCTGAGGAGAAGGTCGGAGCAGAAATTGTTCTGACAGAGTAAAGCACACCAGAAACCCGGACACAAATCCAGCCACTCACTGAGCCCATCTCTGCCTCATTTTCCTCTCCTTTAGCACTTCTGCCTCACTGATGGTGTCTCTGCATTTCTCCTCTTTATTTCCAGGGACATCTGCTGCAATCCCTTCTCATTAACTAAAAGCACACATTTCTCTGGGGTCTATTTTCCTTTTCTTCCTTCAGTTATTACCAACCCCAGCCACGCTGGGGATAAGGGGCAAAACCAACTCCTGAGTGATCCAACTGCTGTCATTCCCCAGAAGGTGCTGGAGAGAACTGCAGGGTGCAATTAAAATTCAACATTTCCTTGGGTTTTAAAGCCCCTGCAGTGGATTTTTAAACACAACCCACTTCGAATCTCTCCCTCCAAGAGCAGCCTGGTTATTGCCGTTTTAAGGCTTCCCCATCGTTTTCCTGTTGAGATCCAGCTCTCATCACAAAAAGCCTGTTTAAAGCTAAGCCAAACCCCACCAAATTATTACTTGCAGCAGATTTTCTCTCCCCAGCAACCATTTATCATAATATTTTTAGGTTCGCCTTTTACTTTGTCTTGTTTTTAGAGGGGAAAAGTAATTCCTGGGAAAATGTGCAACAATCTGCTTTCAGTTTGGAAGCACAGGACTTGAAAATTGTCTGAAAAGCAGGATTTCTCAGCAAACAGTCCAGAATTTGGATAAAAAGCCACACTTCTGTGAACCTAGCAAATCGAAAAAGGACACTTGAAGCATTCTGGGGGAGAAGAGCCCTGGACCAACACCTCCAGCACCACACAGGAGCTGAGCTCTTTGCTTCCCCCATCCTTCCCCCATCCCAAAGCTTTTTCTTGTGCCCCTGTGCCCATCCCAAACCTCACCTCGGCCGCAGGGACGCCCTCGGGGGGCCGGCAGTGCAGGACAATCATCCCCTCGATGGGAACCTCCTTGCCCTGGGGGTCTTGCTCAAAGTTCTTCCGTAGATCTGCAGGGTTGGACAAAGAATTCCTCACCATTGGCATTCCTTGGGTGCAAGAATTCCTCACCACTGGCACTCCTTGGGTGCAAGAATTCCTCACCATTGGCACTCCTTGGGTGCAAGAATTCATCACCCCTGGCACTCCTGCCCCAAAGCTCGAGGGGGTGTGGGGTGAGTGATCCTGGCACTCCCAGTGTGGCACTGGGCATCCCAGAGCCCCAGGACACCCCGGATCCCTGGATCCCACCACCTTCAGCTGTGTTCCCATTCCTCCACTCTCCAAGGCCGTCTGTGTTTGACACAAGCTGTGCCAGAGCGCCAGGCCCAGGTTCCAGCCGTGCCTCCCATCTCCAGAGCCTTCCCGCAACTGGAGAGCTCAGAGCAGGGACAAGGTGGGAGCCCCAGGTGCTGTGGGTGAATCGAGGGCGTTGGAACTGGATTGGGAGCGAGAGAATCCAGCCTGGCTGGGCCCTGCCCTGCTCAGAGCAGCGTCTGATACCCTGCTCTGTGCAGATCTCACCCCGACAGCTGCAGGGAGGAGGAGGAGGAGGAGGAAGGGGCTGGGAGCAATTCACACAATCCCAGAATGAACCAGGTCAGGAGAGACCTTTGAAATCATCAGGTCCAACCTGTGACCGAATTCCAGGCTGGGGACAAACTGCAGGCACGGCTGCCCCGGTGCAAACTGAGCTTCAGGAGTGTCTGGCAGCGCTGCAGCACCTCTGGGTGCCTGGGCAGAGCAGAACAGACACAAAGGGCACCTGGATCCAGCCGGGATCACTGGCTCTCTCCCAAGTATTCCCTCGCTGTGGAAGCGAAGCAAACCCTCAGGGATGTGCCTTCCTGCTGGAGGAGGTTCCTTTAGGAACTCTCCTCGTGTTCCCAGTGTCCCACAGTGGGGATTTACTGACTTCATTCGCTGCCCTGCTCACAGCTGATGAAATAGAGCCCTGGCACCGCCATTCCCAAAGCCACCGAGACCCCTCTGAGCAGGCTGCTGGCTGCAGGGAGATGCTCACAGTCCCTCATGCTCCTTTCCATGATTCTTTCTTAATGTTGATTTTTTTCCCTCCACAGACAACCAATTTCTTTTCCAGCGCTCTCTTTAAAAAGACTTTCCTTAACAGCCGGCCTGCGCTTGTGCCTACAAATGCCTTTATTAGGGTGAAAAATGGAGCAGGATCCCTTTGCTCTGCCTTCCCCACTATCGCAAAGAAATACTCACCTGCTTCTTCGGAGAAATATAAAGTGCTGCAACACTCTGGACTTGCCTCACAATTCAGAAACTTCGGGATTTCGGTGAAAAATTGAAATAAAGGGATGAAATGAAGCCGCCGGTTCCTCAGTGCCCATCGCAGAGGCGCTGGGAGAACGTTCTGGGTTCTGTCAGAGATTGGACCTGCAGGGTCTCATCCCTGACCCTCCCAGGGTGTTCCCCAAGCCATAAATCCCACCCCAGGATGTTCCTGCTGTGCCTGAGGAGCCCCTTCACCTCTGCCCTCCCAAACCGCTGCTTTTGCCACCAAAGCACTCGGCTTTGAGCAGAAACAGCCTGGGAACGGGCAGAGAGGAGCTCAGCTCCCACACAAAGCCTCCAGGCTCCCCCAGAACACTCCAGGCCCAGCTGAAGAGCCTCTCCAGAGCGCTGTGGGGTTAATGGGGTCTCGGGGGCACTGGGAAGAAGAGCTGATCCCACAGCGAGGGGCTGAAAGGCTCCTGCTGCTCCTGCTCCTGCTGAGCCTGGCTCAGATTGCCATTTTGTGGGGCTGGGAAATCACAGCACGGAGAAAAGTCAATAAAAATTCAATTCAGATAAAGGTCCTTTCAGCTCGGCAATGCAGGGGAATTATTGGCTCAGTGTTACGACAGTTAATGCAGTGAAATAAAAAATTGAATTTACACATATTTAGACATTCAGACTGAATCAGCCAACAAAAAACTCTGCCATTAATTAAATGAAGGTTTTCTTACACTGTCCTTTTACTTCTGACAAATGTTTGTTTTATCCTGTCAAATGTTTACCCTGCTAAAAGACACCTTTTTAAATTGTCAGGAACAGCTGGAGCACTCCCTGCAAAGTCTCCCTTCAGGTTCTGCCTTTGCTCCTGCCCTCCTCTCCCAGGGAATGTTTCTCACAGCTTTTTGCAGGCTGCACCTCCTTTCCTAGGAGAGGAAAGGGAAGATCTGAGCTGGGAGTTCAAAGGAAAAGGGTTCACCACAGGTTGGGGGAAGCAATCCTGAATTCTCTGCTGGCACGGGCGGTGTCAGGCTCCTGTTCTGCCAGGAAAACGTCCCAGGTCTGGTTCCAAGAATGGGATGAGGCTTGGAGCAGCTCCTGGTGACAGCCGTGTTTGGGGTTGTGTCTCTGCTGTCCCCCTGGTGTTTGGAGCATTTCCCCTTGTGCAGCCCCCAGCGGGGTCTGTGGGAGGGGAGTGACGACCCCACAGCTCATCAAGGACGTGAGGAGTGGAACATCATCCCCCACCTTCCCTAAAGTCTCCAGGGTCAGCAGCTCCATCGTTTGTTCCCTGCCAAGAGCAGCTCAGGGCCCTGCAGGGTTCCCGTGGCAGCCTCTTGGGGATGGGTTTATCCCAGGAAAGGAGGGAAGGTGTTTTTATCTCTGCTGACTCCTGTGGCTCCTGGGATGTTCCTGCCTGACCACATCCATGGAAGTTTAACCCCAAACCCAGCACCCCAGCCCTCAGAGCCCCAGAAAAGCGGGATTTACTCACAAGCGATGCGCACCGACGCCTTCCTGCTCTTGGAGGTGCCCAGGTGGCTCCAGGCCACGCACTGGCACCAGTAATCCTCGGGGCCGTGGAAATCCTCCACCTGCTGCCTCGTGACGTTGATGGAAACCTCGCGCACCTTCAGCCCTGCGGGGAGAGGCAGAGTGTCCTGGGGTGACTTTATGATACTGGTATCCCCGATCCTCTGGTTTATGTTATATATTAAGTTCTGTGCTTTTAAGACTGGCTCTGAGAGCAAGAGAGGGGGAAGAAGAAACTGCAGTTTGTGTTAAGGAAAAACATCACTCCCACACATCCCGCTCCTGGACTGTGGTGTCTGCAGCACGGACAGACAGCGGGACAGAGCTTCTCTCTGGCTTTCAGTTAGTTCTAGCTAGCTGAGGCAGAGGAGTTCCCTGGACCTTTGTTTTTTCCCTTTTTTCCTGGATCTGTGCAAGCCTGCTCTGGACTGAACACCCAGCCAAACCCTGGGAGCTCACGCCTGTGGCCCACCGGGGCCTGGGCCTCGGCACTTTCCAGCACCGAAAGGACTGATAAGAACCTGAGCGAGCCGAGCTACACCACATGGAAAGGACATTTTTTCTTCCTAGACTTGCCATCCCATCGAACAGCAAGAGGTTTTATTATTTAATATTACTCAATTTTTGTTAAATAAACAGCTTTTTCCACTTCTCTCCAAGGATTTTTTTTTTTTTCCTTTCCCAGACCAGTTGGTGGGGAGGGGTCATTTCCCTGGGGAAACCCCCATTTGGAGTTTTCCTCCCTAATTTGCCCTAAACTAGGACACAGAGTCAGCAGGGACAGGCAGTGGGGCGAGGCCGAGGCACCCAAACCTGCCCTTCCACCAGCACTGCCGCTTGCAGCCAGGGAAAAGCCTTAATTACTTCAATTAGTGCCACTAGTGGAATTCTGTAAGATGAGCGCTCATAAGGCACCGGGCTCCAGGAATTGCCCCCACCGTGATCTCTGCAGCTCCTCCCTCAGAATCCTTCACCCAGGATGTTTGTCTGGAATTCAATCAGGTGCAATAAAAATGTCTTTAAACGACATCTCCATGCCCTGTCAAACCTCCCTCAAGCACTGGGGGAGCTGAGCACCGCGGCCCCTCGGACCAGGAGCGTTTCCCCCAGCCAGAGGCTGAGGGTAAATTCCAGAGCTCCAGAATCCTCCCACACTTTTTGTGTGGCACCCCTGGGATATTCCCCAGCCCTGCAGCCACCTGGCATGACAGCCTGGGGAGAGGAAATCCAAGCCAAGCCTGGCGCTGGGATCCATTTGAAAGAGTCAGAAAAACATTAAATGAAAATAGAAAACATTCAGGCCTTGTTCTTGCTCCTCTCTCCTCCGGTGCAGTCCCCAGGCAGTTATTTCCCCTCCACTGGAAATGGAGGCAAACCCAATCTCGCCGTATTTCATGCCTGTGGAGTTTATAAAGCAGCAAGAATTCTAAACCTGAACTCCATAAAAATTGGCTTCCACTTAATCTCAGGCATCATTAACAGCTGGGCAGCCACTCCTCAAAGGCACTGGGAAGTCGCTGTGCTCCTCTGGCAGGAGGAGGGACCGGGTTCACTGGGGATGCTCCAAAAGGGGAAGCTCAGACAAGCTTTAAATCCTGTACAAAAATACAGAATATTTGATACTTTTCCAGCCACAGGAAAAGGGGATTTTTTCTTCTTTTCATTAAGGCTGGCTTACAGTGAAACCCAGAGACAGGGACAAACCCTTGACAGCTCCCCAAGTTGTCTCCAGAACCCCTTCAGTCCCTCAAATATTTATTCCCCCTGCAACAAACAAACACAGGTTTCTTGGCTGCTTTTATTTGCATTTTGTTTTCCCCCGTGTTGATGCCATTTTAAACAAAACTGTTTACAAAGCCTCCCTTTATTTCCTGACACGGTGACAACAAACCCAGAGGAACAAAGGCTCTGCCAGAGACCCTGCCAGGAAAATGCACCCCCTAAACAAAACCATCCCTGCTCTGCCAGCCAGAAATCCTTGGATTCTGGCATTAAAACGTTCTGCAGAGTGGTCTGTACAGGTTTAAGGTGAGAGAAACTCCATCACTGGAGCTTCTGTTCCCTCCGAGAGGACGGGAGTGCTGGGGACAGAGCAGGGTGGAGGGTTTGGGATCCCGTTCCCACCAGGAGCAGCTTCCTGAGGGGAAAACTCTCCCTGGATCATGCAGAGCTGTGCTGACCCCACTGCTCCCTTCACTCCCGAGCTGCTCTGGGGATTTTGGGAGCAGCAAACACAGACAGAGGTGTGGGAGCTGCCCCAGCACAGCCCCTGCTCACAACGACAGGATTTTGATACCAAACAAAAAGAAGGAATCACTTGATGATGAATTTTGGAGAAGCTGAAGCCATTTCTTGGCTCCTGGGTGCTGCAAATTTCTGAGCAGGCGTCAGTGAATTCAGGCATTTACAGCTCCAGATTTATTAAGGTGGAATATTCTCCAGCCCAGCTCTTCCTTTCATTGACACGGCGTTTAATTAATCTATAAATCAGCCTGCATTTAGTGTGGCAAACAAAGAGCGCACGGTTTGGGGAAGCTGGTGGTTCAGCGTTTTGAGAATGGGCCAGGTAGGAATTCAGGTCCTCTTAAAGGTCTCCCAATTCACCCATGGACAAAATGAATGCATCCAAAACTGCAGAATCTCGGAGTTGTTGGGGTTGGACGGGACCTCTGGAGAGCAGGGGGTCTTTGGGGGGAGTTGTGCTTTGTTTATGGAGAAAGTACAGCAATTTCCATTTGTTTTAGGAACAACGACAGGAAGCAAACCTATTGGGAGGTGAGGAGTATTCTCCATTTATCACCCCCGTATTTCACCAGCAAACATATCCACCTCCCTCTGCACCTCGGGAAACGCCAGGAAAATCGTTCATGGGGAGTGACACCGGCTGAAAAATCCATTCAGATCAAAGCAGGCACCTCATAAACCACAGCGACATTTTACCTGCGACTCCAATAACTCCAATAAGCACCGCGAGCCCAACCCTTTAAATTATTGTGCAAATTAGAACCATCATCTTTTGTTTTACAGTAGAGCCGTGCAGAATATCAAGTGCTGGCTGTGGCACTGAAATGCTAATGGGCTCTGCTGGATGCTCGAGCAGCACAGACCGGTGCTGGCAGCAGATGAATAATTGCTCTCCGTGTACTAAACACAACGGAGCTGCAGAGAACTTCGGCATTTGTCAGCTTTATTTGTTTAAATGAGAAAAACACTGACAGCAGTTATGGCTGTAATCCTTCCAGTTATCAGACAAGGAAACTGTGCGAGCGGGGCTGAGCCTCTGCTGAACCCCAGCCTGAAATAGCCGGGCAGGGTCTGGAGTGTGCAGGAAATGCAGCAGAGGGAAATTAATCAGCACTTAATTACCAGACCTTCATCACAGCAGCATCCACGAACTCGGCTCTCCCTTGATGAGGCAGAGCACAGAGAGAACAAAGTCCCTGCTCTGCCATGCTTGGGAATAAACAGGAAAAGCAGAGGCAGAGCAGCAAAAACACCACAGGGACACTCCAGGCAAAGCCTTCCAGACATCCCCAGGCAGCAGCGCTGCAAAACCCTCCCTGTCCTGCTGCTCCTCCTCACAGACACTGCTGGGCTACTCTGAGGTTTTTATTCCCCTCCTGTAAAACCAAAATCGTGAAATCCTGGGCTCTGTGCCCGTGCTGGTGACAAAGCTGAGCGTGGGGAGTCCCTGCCTGGGGCTCCCCCAGTGCCTCCCCTCCGCCAGGAGCCCCCACGGTGCTCGGACACGTCCCCTCCATCCAGCACAAGCCTCCTCCAGCCTGGGGCTCTGCTTGCTGCTCTTCCCTTCTCCACATGCAGCGTTTTGATCCCACACGAGCAGTGGAAGGATGGGGAGGGTCGGAGCCTTTCGGTGCAGCGAGGCCCCAGAATCCCCTTTAACCAAAATCCCGTTTTTGGCACAAATCCCAGAGCGGTTTTTCCCAGCTGGAGCCCCCAGGGCAGCAGACCTGGGCTGTGCCTGGGGACAGGCTGGACTCCAGAAACGAGGGCACATCCACACCAAAAGCTCCGACAGCTGCTGCTCCTGGAGGCTGAGGAAGAGCTCCAGGCTGATTCCTGGCTATGGATGGGGATCATGGTGAGAGAATTCCCTTCCCTGCTGCCTCCCTCTGCATTTCTGTGCCCTGAGGACCCTCCTGGCACCTTGGGACTCCTGGGCACTGCCCTGCCTGCTCCACGCTGTGTTTTGGGTCCAGACCTTTGGGGCACCTCCAGCCCTGGGCTCAGCCCGACCCTGCAGCGTTTCTGTGCTCAGGGGAGCTGCCCACGGAACCAGGGATTGGATTTGGATTTTCTCCCAGTCCAAACCATCCATGATCCAGCTCTGTTGCTCCGGGTCTCAAACCCCAGTGATGTCCTTTAAACACCACCTCGTGTTACCAATCTTGGTTTGTTCTGTTATTAACCCAAAGCTTAGAAAACATAATTGCAGCACTCACAGAGAGATTTGCTGTAACCATATGGAAGGAAAGCTTTTAGGGACGACATTTCTCCCATATTGATTCAGCAGTGCCTTCAGAAGTAAAGGTTATGCCTATTAAATTATTTCTGAAAAGGTAACTGCAAAAATTAAAATTCATTCAGATTAGCATTTACAAAAAAAAAAAAAAAAACCCTTTAATACGAAATTTCTTCAGAATGTGTCACTTCAAAAGAATGCCAAGCACTACTTTAGGAGGTGCAACTTCTTTTTAAATGGCGTTTTTGCCTCTAAAAAAGGAATTTCTTGTGTTGCTGGAGAAGGTGTTGTACACAGAGAGCTGCTGCCAAGGCTGGGGGTTGCCTAGCAATGCTGGGAGGGGAGAGGGGAGAAAGCAATAACAACCAGACTTGTGGAGCCACAGCATTAAATTGGTCTGCAATACTTATCAGCTAAATGAGAAAGGCTCCAGGCTCTGCTCGGAGCTGATAAAATCTCCTGATCACTCCCAAACATCTCCCTTCTCCTCTTCTTCTCTTCCACACCCACTGGACACTGTGGAACTCTCCTGCTCGGGTTATTCCAACTCAATTCCTGCCCTGGCTGGGGCTGGGGGCGAACTCCAGGGTCCAACCCAACAAAAATCCCATAAAAACGGGAGTTTCCCTATTTCCAGCTCCTGCTCCAAACTGAACCAGAGGAAGCCCAGTTCCCTGCAGAGCTCCCTGGCGGGGTTGGAACTGGGATTCCCGCTGGGATGTGTCCGGGAGCAGCTCCTGGCTCACCTGTGGCCTCATCCAGGCTCTCGAGGGACACGTGCTCGTTCTGGTGCACCCAGTCCCCGTTGCACTTGAAGAAGATCTGCATGGCGGGCACGGCCCGGCAGCGCAGCACGATGGGGTTGCTCTTGATGATGTAGGAATCGTCCGGCTCCTCCAGGAAATGGGGCAGGGTCCCCGGGGCCGAGGGGATGGACTCGGGCAGGGCCTCGCTGTTCTCATTTCCTGCAAGGCAACCAAAGGAAAAGTCACGTTTTTCACGTTTCTTCCACAGTCCCGTTTCACTGCTGGAGGGAGAAACCAGCTCTGGGTTTTATTTAGGATGGGTTTTACACCAGGAGTGCCTGCAGAGCTGCTGGGCTGGGCTTTGCCAGGCCAAACGCACACAGAGGAAAAAAATCAAATAATTGAAGTGTAAGAGCTGTCAAAGTGCCCCAAAACAGCAGAAAACTGCCCCGCAGGTGGGAACTGGGGGTTCAGAAGCTGCGGGATGTGAGTGGAGAAGCTTTCACCACTCCTGCACATCCTCTCAGGACTGTGATCCCCAGCTGCCATCAGGCCAAGGGAATTCCTCCAGCAGGGGATGAGCCCAGCGCCCTCCGCTCCCGAATTCCAGAGGCGCTGGAACAGAGGCTTTGCCTTCCCATCCCGTCAAATCCTGCCAAAGCCGGGAAATTCCCACTGATCTCCGGCACTGCTGTGGTTTATTTCAGCACTTTGTCAGTTTTTGGCCGGAATTCAGAGGAAAGCAACAGTTCTGAGTGAGAAGGGATTGGTTTCTGCAGGAGGAGCAGAGAGCGCCGAGCACACCCGGTTGGGATGGCGGGAGCTGGGATCAGACAGGGAACAGCCGAGGGCACGAGGGAGGTGACCGAACCCAAAGCAGTGAAATTAAGGCGGGTGAGAGGGAAGTTGCGTTGCTGTGAAGGAAAATGAAACCTTTTCCATGTCTGGGAGATGCCAGACTAATGAGAACGGTGTTTTATTTCTATTAAATCCCAGAGCTGTCCCTCAGCACGGAGCTCTGTGTGCAAACACTCCCCGAGCTGTGCTGGGGAATCACAGCCACCTTCAAACGAGTTCAGTGCTTTCAAGCCCTTCTCAGGGTGCTTTACAAAATATTATCACAACTTTCAGCGTTTTACTCCCAAACATTGATGCCAATTTCCACCTTGTCAGTCTTCAGCAACGCTGCGTCCCTGCAGGCTTTATTAAATCCGAGTTTTATAGGAAATAACAAAAAAATGTCATAAGATTTTTGGAGAGGCTTGGAAATCCCAGGCTCCCACCAAGGCTCCAGCAGTGCTGGAGTGGAGGCAGAGCAGCAGCTGAGTCCGGAAGGATCACCCAGCTGGAGAACTCCCAGTGACCCCGAGTTATTCCACTGAATTTGCTATTTAGGGCAAGGCAGAGAGGAGACAATCCCAGCCCCACTGACATCCCCGGCGGATTTCTCCTGGCAGGTTGTGTCTGCATTGAGTGGTCTGGCTTTATTTGGGTGTCAGGCAGATTTTGGGGCTGGGAGTGGCTCCCTCCCGATGGAAACCTCTCAGGTGACCAGGAAAATGCAGGTGCATCTTTTCCCTTCGCCGTTTTCCTTTGAAAATCCAGCCGAGGTCCAAAGCAGGAATGATTCCCCCTCACACCCACGGACAGATCTTGCTGTATTTTACAAATGGAATTGCCTGAATTCCTCGTTTCAGGATGTTCCTGCCCCAGGTGGAATCAGCACAACATTTCTGGATAAAGAACATTTTCCCCTCTCCTGAAGTGCCCTCAACGCTCAGGATTTTACCTCAAAGCCTCTTCCTCTTGTGATCGCCTTTCTTGTGCCCCAACTGGAATTCACACTCCCCCAGAAGCTGCTGGAACTTTCCCAGGGGCTGACTGCAAATCCCTGAGGTTTTCCATGTCAGTTTTTGGCACTCAGGCCCTTCAGAACTACACAAAAAAAGCCGTTTTGTAGCAGCAGCAAATGACAGAAGAGCAAAGCCTGACACACAATTCTTGTGGTTTTCATTCCTGGAAAATTACCTTTCAGGAAGGGTTTTGTGTTTTATGCTCTGCACGCGAGGCCAAAAGGGACTTTAAATCTTTTTATGACAATAATAGAAATGAAAAAGAAAGGAGGGGAAAAAAAAAAAAAGTTAGGAAGAAGCATTAAATTCTTCTCTGAAATAAACACACTGCTGTTGTCAGAACACATTAGGAGATCTGGACAGCAGCAGACAGGGATGAGTCAGTATTTCAAAACTGATTAGGATAATTTAGATGTTAAAATGAGATCTTAAACCAGCGAAAAACTGTGAATTCTGAACTCTTTTTTTTTTTTCTTTTCAAATTAAGAATTATTTGAAGTGAGCAGCATTATTCTTTCTGCATCAGAAAACCCAAACCAAACAAACAAAAAACAAAACCAAAAGTTAAAGTGTCCCCAACAAACAAAGTTACTCATGATAAATACAAATAAATCTGGCAATAAATTGTGCAGAGACTTTTCCCAAGGGGCTAAACACAACTTCTTTTACACATTTTGGTACTAGAAAAACAAAGCTCTAAAATTCCCAAACGGGGCTGAATTCCCCTCTCTGATCCAGCAGCCCTGGGATCAGAGGGAGCTCTTTTCCCTCTCTGCTGGGATTTTGGGATTTGGGATTTTCCTCTCTGCTGGGGTTTGGGATTTGGGTTTTCCCTCTCTGCTGGGGTTTGTGATTTTTTTCCTCTCTGCTGGGGTTTGTGATTTTTTTCCTCTCTGCTGGGGTTTGGGATCTGGGATTTCCCTCTCTGCTGGGATTTGGGATTTCCCTCTCTGCTGGGGTTTGGGATTTTCCCTGATTTATGGCACTGCCCTGAAGCAATTCCTCCTGCAGGAGCCATTCCCACATACAAACATTCCCAGTTCCCTCCAAGCTCCTTGTCCAGCTCAGGAATTCCTCCCTCTTTGGTTCCTTTTCCCATTTACAGATGCTGGCAGCAGCACTGGGTTATTCCCTGCTGCTCTGGATGTTTTCTGTCCCAATCCAGAAGGAAAAAGCCTTTTCCCAGCTGGAAACATCCCAGCCCCTCCTTTGGACAGGCCCATTCAGGAGCAGAAACACGACTGGAGATATCCCAATATCCCAAATATTCACATTCCTCCCTTTCCATGTGTCCAGCGCCGCTGATCCCTGCTGGCCTCCAACCCCTGCAGCCAGGATTTCCCCCAAAGAAATTCAAGTGCCTTTCCCACGTGTGCTCAGCTTGCCAGGGAAGTCAGGGCATGGAAAAATAAAAAGCCTGATCCAGAATAGAGAATTTCCTCATGCCTGGAACGGTTTCCATGATGAAATTTGAGTCATTATTCAGTCAGAAAAGCAGCTCGGTGAGATTTGCCTACATTTGTTTAATCAGATGACCCCGGTCCCCACGCAAAGTGGGTTTTTTGGAAAGCGCTCAGAAATTGATGGGAATGGCAGATTTTGTTGCCCACGTGAAATCCTTTAATGCCTCTGCTGCTTCCCCTGGCTGGGGGATTTGCTGAGGCCCCAGGACAGGGAATTTAGCAGAGACTAAATTTGGAGAGATGGGAGACCCAGAAACAAATCCACTCCAAAGGGAACTCCCAGCTCATCCCATCCCACTCCTGCCATGGGCAGGGGACCTTCCACCACACCAGCTTGCTCATCTCCATTTGTTCCTATTTTTTCAGTGCTTTTAGCAGAATTCCTGATTTTCTTCCTGGCTGCTGTACAGCCCAAAGCCAGATTTAGTTTCGTTAATGAACTTCAAATGCCCTTTCCCAACAATACAATGGATTTCTTACTGGGTGTTTACAATTTTCCCTGTGAGGAAGAACCCTCAATAGATCCGTGAACTCTCAATAAATGAATGAACCCTCAATTAATCAATGAACCCCTCAATTAATCAGTGAATCCCTCAATAAATCAATAAACAATTAATCAACAAACTCCTCAATAAATCAGTGAACCCTTAATTAATCAATGAACACTCAATTAATCGATGAACCCTTCAATAAATCAATGAACTCTCAGTAAATCAATGAACACTCAATAAATCTATGAATTCTCAATTAATCAGTGAACCATCAATAGGGTTCTCTGATTAATTGAGACCATGAATGATAAATGAATCAATGAATTCTCAATAAATCAATGAATTCCCAATAAATCAGTGAATTCTCAATAGACCAAGGAAACCCTCAGCAATCCCAGCACTCCTCAGGGAGCTCTGGTGGGGATCCAGGGATCTGTAAATTCCCAGCCCAGCTCATTCCCGTGTTCCCGTGCTCTCCCAAATTCCCAGCCCAGCTCATTCCCGTGTTCCC